CATCGGGGCGAAAAAAAGTCTGCCTACTCAATTTCTGGCAGTGCTAAGGAATTGATACTGCAGGATGTCACCAGCATTGTAAACTACATCCCAAATATATGCTTGGAAACAAAAATGACACGAAAATTGACAATGAATTGGCGAGAGGCCATCTTTATTTTGAACGGAAAAAGTGATGCCTAAATATGATATGTACATGTACACTGTATATAATATAATAAAACAAGCACAATGAACTGATCCACCAACTACAATTGGGTTTAAGCTATCCAGTAAACAAAACAAAATTGATCTTTCTAAAACACAAGGTTGTTAGAAGTGTTCCAAGTTGCGATCTCTGACTGAGTCACTCAAATTCAAGTGCGATATTCGCGAATAATAATGTCAATATGCCACTATAGAAAGACTTGCTGGCTAAAGACTTGTGTTGAGCTTCTAAATCTATATAAAGTATCAAAATATATGGTTGTTTTCAGTTGTAAAAACTAGAATATGAAGGGAACAATGAATCGGTTGTTTCACATGTTTTCATTTTATTAGCTACACCCAGGTGTGTTCACACATGAGAGGGACCTACTTTTAGTACAGAGGAAGAGTTTTTCATTTCTCAGTACAGGAACAAAGCATACATATGTTTTTAGTTTCTGAGAAATCACAAATCCAAAATGCATGACATGGATTGGACAAAACTTTGGAGCAAGCACACTCATGACATTGCATCCAACCACAGAAAGTTTACATTGTGTACATGTTGTGCATTAAAACCTAACTGCCCAGGGATTGTTTCTTTGTGTTAAGATTATTTCAGTAACACAAGAATATGTGTTGATAATGCTTTTGAATACAAGATCAACAAAACATCTGGAAAGGAATATATTTTTGTGTGCTCCTACGAAAGATGCGGTATATTTTTTTGCATGGTCACATTTTCAGTTTGTTGTTAGAAACAAAGGAAACATAATCAATGTTGCCATCTCCCTCGCAATAATATAATGCATTTACCATGTATGCTTGCATTGAATTTCAATAGCCTGATTCTCCATTCAATGACCATATCAAAGTTCAGACAATTTATGGTTTTTCAATGTAAGGAGGTCAGGGCCAGAATGTGAATTTCTTTGCATGACCTGAATATCAAAGAGCAGTATAATAACTATATAAGCCTTGCATAGAATATACCACTATTAGCACTGAAGGAACGATTCAATGAAAATAAAACTCAGCAAATATACCTTTTTTCCTATGTTTTACATTCTACTTATCAAAAATCAGTGATAATGATTTCCATACAAAAAAGCCTAAAAAGTCTTTTCAATAAAAATTAATTCCAGCTAAAATAAAGTATTTTACAGTATTACATCGCCATTGCTTGTAGACTCAGATACAATTATGACCATTATCAATGCGAATAATATGAATAAAGCAGAAAACAATCATTGTGAAAACAGATTGCTTTATAACAGTGGCAATAATCTTGGGTTGTTATGGAGAAAAAGATTGCTTTTGATGCCACCTGATTAATTTGGTGAATTCAATTAATTTGTACAATTACTACCATGGCAACCAGACAGTATGTGATACTTGATCAACTACGTTCCTAGTTTGGATGCAAGAGACATGTTCATTTGAAACTCCAGAACATCAGAGGTTTCTTTTTATTATATCTGTAATGATTTTCTGGTAATTGCTACAGTGGTTATATTTGTGGTGCATCTACTAGTCATACAAGAAAGCCATCAGAGATGTCAGATCCCCATTTTTTCTTGAACGTCTGTATCTGCATTAGAGCAACATTTGAATTTTTTTGTCTCTTTCTTGCCTGTCCTTGGGGCTAAAGTTCAAATATAGCGGTAAACAAAATTCTCATTTGAATCGTGACCGAAAACTAAAATTCAGTCTATAAATGCATTATAAAATATTAAAATATTTATTTGAATGAAGGTATGTACTTTACATTATGTGTGTTATAAATTGTATAAGTTTATGCGAAATGGTTGATAGAAGGTGATTTTAAAGTGGCTTAGCCACACATAATTTTGTGCTAGATTAAATATCTATGATACTCTGCTTCATATTATATAATGCAAATATTTTTTAAAGTGCCTGTGCAATGCCCACCCTTATGTTTCCCATTTTAGATCTGTGTCCCACTGAAATGGGCAGGTATTGATTTTTTTGCTGAAAATGATTACCTGTATCCAAGTAAATTTGGGATATTTCGCGTGGTTTAGCCACGCCCACCTATCCTGAAACGGTCGACTGTTTTTTTTTGAGAGAGAGTTTTTAGATGTTGTGTTGTGGGCAGTTGCAGTGAAACGTATAGTCATAGTGTAAGTATTCACACGTTTCTAATCGATCCGAAGGTGCGACATCAGTGGACGAAAGCCACTTAACCTCAGATTCCTTTTCTTTTTTGGAAAAACTGTCCTCGTCCATGAAAAAAACAACTAGGTTTAAAGAGAAACGCCGACAACATAAACCTGGCGCAACACTTTTGAAAGAAATAGATTCCGGACCATGATCATCGAGGCGGATTTCAGAAGAGAGAGGGACGTCCAGCAAGTGTTTCAAATGAGTTGACTTTTTTTGCGATCCTGATTATCATTTTATAGAGACCATTTAGTTCCTGTTAAGAAAAAGGTAGCAATAATTTTGACAGTGACACGAAAACGAAGCGTCGGACAAACAGGAAATTACACAGCCCTTACACACTGCTAATTGTTTTCATTTTCTGAATTGTTTGGTGATTGGTATGGAATGTCGAATTCACACCTCTGTTCTTTTTTTACCTCCATGCTTGCAGCTTGATCTGCGTAATAATTTATGAAATAAGAATCCGGGCTTGGTCAATGTGTTTCCACCAAATAAAGTTTTAATATGTTATAATTATGACAATCACGCCATGGATCACGCTAACTCGAATCCACTCTGAATTTATCTGTACATGTGTCGATCTCGATTATTTTTGTTATCCAATTAAACGCCGCTTTTACAGACTGTAACGCACTTGCCCTCGTCGTGACCCGACGCGTTCACCTATTTCAACAAAATTTCAATTTATTTCCACGCGGCTGTCATTTATTTAGTAACAGTGATTTGTCGTTTTTTTTAATTATTTTATAGTGATCACTATAGTCTAATGTTTAGAATGTCAGAATATGTTCTCTTTTATTTTAATTTTAAAAGTTTTACTAGACGATCGATGAAAAAGAACAGTGTAGTGACGTGCCTAGTGACCTGCTAAATAACGAGATAATTCCGACGTCAAATTCTCTTTTGTCCAGCGACAGTGTACAAACATGCGCCGCTGATGATCACGGTGACCAGCTACACCAAAACAGACATATTTCGCATCTAACTCAACCCCATGCAACAAAAATTGATACTATGTGTCCATTATGGTCCATTCCTTCGACGAAAAAGTACATAAGTGAAAATTTAGTCAAAGACGAGAAAACTGCACAAGAAATTTGCCTTATTTACACGTATCGGCAATGCAAGCTGTCATGCGACTTCCCCTTCAGACGCCACAAGGGGAATTTCTGTATGCAAATAAGAAGCTAATGAGCAGCCTAGTTTTAAAATAAACAAAAATAAAGTTGCTGTAGATTGAGTTTAAAACACATTTTTTCACTTAAAAAAATAATTCATGCTTAGAAACAAACAAAATATAATAATATTATTGTATCAATGGATAATTTTAGGCGTGAAAATAGCAGCCATTTCACAGGCACTTTAATGTAGGATATACCATATTACCCCGGGCACGCGCCCCTCCCTGGGCAAGCGCCCACCCCGTTTTCACAAAAGTTACATGTTGGGGACATCCTCGGTTCAACGCCCAGAGTGATTTTTAGCCAACAACGGGGTCAACAATAAAGTTTTATTTGTCAAAAACGAACGCGTTCGATTTATTTAAATAGTGTGTTTGTTACGGTAGTTCTGTTTTTGGAGTATGTGGTGGCCCTGAAAAGGGTCGCTGACTGTGAATTCATAGTAGGAGCTAGCACTTTTGAGACGTCGTAAACTTGCTACTTTCTTTCCATCCTTCATCACAGCTATGGCATTACGGTCATGTGGATTATTTTTCTGTCGTTCGAGAAAAAACATTTTGCCGACCTCAAGTCCATTACGATAACCATAATGAGGCATGCCGACGATGGGAACTTGTTGCATCATCGTTATTTTTGTAGTTTTGTCATGTGTGTGGGTGCGTGAATAAATCATATTAATGAGGTCGACCAGAGTTTATTTTCAGTCTGTTTTTTTATGTATCGCCCATTTGGATATGTTTATGTATTCACAATAGTGTGTAAACATTTCACATCAGTAATAAAAGGTTTATTTGTTTCATAACCCTGCCTGCTATTCTTCAGTAATTACGATGCAATGTATCAATATGTGTGTGAACAAAATTATGCTAATGAGGTCATCGCCATCTTGGATTACAAGCGGTAGTTTTTCCCGGCCGTTTCGACTTGCATGCACTGATCACGCAACGAAAAAGCAACCGTGCATTGATTACAGTACTTACCATACTTTGTAGCCAATTTCAGTGAGTAATACAACTTCATTCGCTGACATAAAACAAGTTTTATTCTTGAAATTAGACTCCGTGTCTTAGTGTTCCCACAGTTCTTGACCGAGTGCTCACGTTTATTGAAACCTCGCATAAATCAAGAAATAAGTACGTGTACAAAGTGTACGAAAGCATTCCTTTATTTGACCTTATCATACGATCACAAAAACAACTATTTAAAATCTTTTTTGGGGTGGTCCTCGGGTAAGCGCCCACCCCCATTTTTCCCCCGATTTTGTATGTTCAGGCCCCTGGGCGCGTGCCCGGGGTAATACGGTATGTGAACATATCCTCCATTACTGCATGTGTACAGAATGGTGTTGGTCGGTTCAGTTTTTTGGGGAGGTTTTGTGCACCATAGAGCTCCATGTGTGTGGCTAGTTGACTTGGTAGTGAACGACTTGCTTGTTTATTCGTGGTATTATAATGCTGGACATATTTCTGCTGACCCTATAGTATATGCTCCCATGGGAGTACCTCCTGCTTGCATCCTTTCTGACCCTATAGTATACACTCCCATGGGAGTACCTCCTGCTTGCATCCCTTCTGACCCTATAGTATATGCTCCTATGGGAGTAGCTCCTGCTTGCACCCCTTCTGACCCTATAGTATACACTCCCATGGGAGTACCTCCTGCTTGCATCCCTTCTGACCCTATAGTATATGCTCCCACGGGAGTACCTCCTGCTTGCATCCTTTCTGACCCTATAGTATATGCTCCTATGGGAGTACCTCCTGCTTGCATCCCTTCTGACCCTATAGTATACACTCCCATCGGAGTACCTCCTGCTTGCATCCCTTCTGACCCTATAGTATATGTTCCTATGGGAGTACCTCCTGCTTGCATCCCTTCTGACCCTATAGTATATGCTCCTATGGGAGTACCTCCTGCTTGTATCCCTTCTGACCCTATAGTATACACTCCCATGGGAGTACCTCCTGCTTGTATCCCTTCTGACCCTATAGTATATGCTCCTATGGGAGTACCTCCTGCTTGCATTCCTTCTGACCCTATAGTATACACTCCCATGGGAGTACCTCTTTCTTGCATCACTTCTGACCCTATAGTATACACTCCCATAGGAAGTACCTCTTGCTTGCATCCTTTCTGATGCTATTGGTTTGTTCTTTTATTTGATCATGATCATTAGTAATTAATTACATTACCAGATGACAAATATAGAAACTGAAATCCTGAAGCTACCAGTAAGCAATAGAATATTATATTATATTAATATTAATACCATGTTATTAAAATATTCAGTACAGCTATACAATCTTGTGATGAATTCTAATAAATAATAATTACACATACATTGTATACTTACATACTATATAACCAGTTATATTTACTAGCATTTAATTTTTATGTTAATATCATAGTCACTAGCTGAAACAATTGGTTCTATTGTTATTTTACATGGTCACAAAGATTCAAATTTAGTGGATTATAAAATTAAAACTCAATGAATAATTAATGTATTTGCATGAAGTGATTCTGCATGAGGTTCAATTCTGTAACACCTCATTGGGCCCTCCTCGTGCATGCCTTTTGTAAATAGAGCCAATTCGACAGTAGAGAGCCTTGATGACTGACTATCACAGTATCTCTATTCTTCAGAATTACAAAAACCTCCTGGTTTGGTCTCACAAAGATGATCATAACTGATACAAGACTTATTGTGTTGCATGCCATTTACAAATAAATTGTTTCTACTAAAATTTCTATTTCAATTTTTTTCTCAAATTGTTATTGTCTGCTACTCATTTATGGTAGTATATTCAAAATAGATACGTTGCTAGCAATGGTGTATTCCAATTGTAAACATAACTTGGTAAAACTACATAATTATTACATCCACCCGAACAGTACAGTTCTGCTTGGCTGTCTGTGACCTTTAAACCCTGACCTTTGACCTACTTATATGTAGCTCTGTTTATGAGAAATGAGAAAATACCAGTATACATATCTCAGTCCATGAATATGAATGCGTGTAGTTTAAAAATGGAAGCAGATGTTCACAACAGAAAGATAAAATTAATAGTTGGACATAAGGTCAGGTCATTGACCTAGAATTCTGCTGTATTTATGGTCAGTATCGAAAGTTCAATAAAGAACAAAAAAAATTAGTTAAGGGGGTGGCAGGAGTTTTACAGATGTTACTGAAATATAACTGTCTCATTCCTTTATTTTTTGGGGGGGTTTCCAATAGCCTCATATATTAGGATGCATACATGTGAAAACAAATCGGTTGCGCAGATAAACAAGCTTGATCGTTGTCATGACTTCATCAATGTTTTCTAGGAGTTTATGTATTTCAAAATACGAGGTCTTTAACACTATTTAAGGTGACAATGGGTGGAACTTGAATGTGTCCAGACAAACTCTTTTGTAAATTATTTACCAACGTTTGGTGGTTTGAGTTGGGGCAATGTGACTAAAACTAAAATTGATATTCAGCACGCTGTGTTTAAAACATGTTGCTTGAATAAAACTGATAAGATGCATTAAATTTAGAAGACTACTGAACAACAGCTTCTTATCACCAGCATGAATGCGTAATTATTTTTTTTTACAGAAAAACGTAACGTGTCGCAGAAGGCTGGCGATTCCAAAAATATATACTTTACTGGGTCTTTTTGTAGCCATTTAGTCACAATTAGAAGATGAAAACAAGTATGCAAATAATATTAGTCTTTCTACCTTAAAGTTGTTTACCATAGACTGAACTGTTAATATTGGCCATTACTAGCTCAATCTTTATAACACAGTAAATTTCCCCTTTCATAGGTCACAGTAAAAACATGTCAGAGGCACTGAAATTAACCTCTTGATGGGCAGTATTTTTATATTACAGATAATTTATGTATTTATGTATTATTATTGTTTTCAAGAAATGTAAACTTGAGATTGTGATGGGCCGGTGGCCTAGTATGGCAATAAAGTTTATTATTTAGTAAAAACATGCGAGCTCAAATGGCAACATTACATCCTGATTACCAGTAACACATGTTAAATAAGTACAAACTTGTTCCGCCCAATAGCATTACAGATTGCTATGGACCACTGTTGGCAATGGTTGGATAATGTTCAAAAATGGACAAATACGCCGGGTTACAGAACATGAAACATACTACAAACAGACAAGGCTAAAAGAAATTGTACATAAACATAATTTTTTGCATTATTAAGAAGTCACCCAATTTACTCCCCTTGTAATAAACTGAGCAAACAAATGATATCTTTATTTAAAAGACTTTTTAGTCACTGTTCAGATGAAGCCCTAAAACAGGAACTTACAAATTGGTTTGTTTCAATTCATCAAAAAAAAGTAATTTTAATTTCCAGTTTCAATCACTACTTCAATGTTATGTGAACCACAAGAAAACACAACATTACCATTTGATCACTCAGTGCCAGACCTGTGGCTGGTCTGATAAGTATTCCTGGCTAGTATCATAAAGCATTTGATCACTCAATGCCAGACCTGTGGCTGGTCTGATAAGTATTCCTGGCTAGTATCATAAAGCATTTGATCACTCAATGCCAGACCTGTGGCTGGTCTGATAAGTATTCCTGGCTAGTATCATAAAGCATTTGATCACTCAATGCCAGACCTGTGGCTGGTCTGATAAGTATTCCTGGCTAGTATCATGAAGCAATTGGTCATAACAATCTAGTACAGGACTGAAACATGATAGTATGAACTTTCTGCAACAGTACACACTGTGAACCAATGAACCAAGTTATCAGTAAATAGCTCCATATCCAAATTAGGTCATGTCATGGCATGTCTCACTTTCAGTATGACCTTCATCTGATAGTTGGTGAGTAAGGCAAGTCTAGACATTAACAAACCAGGCATGTCCGTCATTGCTGTTCAGCTTCACTTTCAATAAATCCATGGTTACCTTAGAATCAACAATTGCTATCCAAAAGAAATTGATATGGTATTGAGATCATTCCAATCAATAAAGGCCATGTCTTTGACTACAGGGAAACAAATCAATATCAACGACATTGTTCCCACCTGTATTTGGATGTATTTGCAATTGGGAACAAAAAATAGAGAAAAACTTGTCATGTCTTTTGTACCAAATTTTAACACAATCAGTTTAGTGTTTAAGGAAAAGGTAATTTGCACATGTAAAGCAACAAGCAGCCTATCGGCTGAGATAGCTCCGCTGTTAGCAATGCACATTTCAATTAAAGAACTGAAGACATGATTAGAAAATGAACAATATGAATAGTATCAAAGCAATCAGACTTACAGTTTTTAACAAGAAGTCGAAAATATCACTTTTTACCAAAAAATTACAAAAATATTCACCAAAATAAATTAATTAGAGAATTGAAGATATCATCACAAAACGAACAAATCTGAGAGAGGTCCACATGTAGTACCTATATATGTAATATCAAAGCAATCGGACTTACAGTTTTCAAC